TTGAGGTGCCAACAAACATGCTCAGTTTTACTACAGCAAGTACAGCCATCTCCTGATCTAATATATCAAACTTCTTAGCAGGGTAAAACCTTTTTTAAGCTCATCTTCTAGTGATCTGATTGCAAAGCAAAATTATTTTATTTATAGGCTTTATATCTAAGACAGAAAACAGTGGTGGTTTTATTCCAATATTACTACCTTTTTTTTTTTTTGAAAAGAAGCCTTTTGAGGTATAAGTTCAAAGATAACTCATTTATAAAAAATTGAAATTTATTTGACTTAGAATTTTCTTATGTGATTTATCCAAAAGATCATAAAATTTGGAGTCAGAGCACTTTACCCCACAACTGAGTAGCTGCCTAACAAGTTATTTAGCCTTATTAAGCTTCAGTGTCCTCATCTGTATAATGTGTATTATAGCAGAAGTTGAATATATTAAATAGGGCAACATATGAAAGAAATACATACAAACGCTCACTTACTGCACACTATTACTCTATAAACATTTATATGTGTAAAAACAAATACAGGAGTGTGTTGTAATTGCTGAACAGTAATCCACTTCCATCCAGAAACATAAGGTAAGCACCTATTATGTGCCAGGGACCAGGCTGGGCTCCATGGAAGTCATAGTGAGGCAAAGTTGGTCTGTGGTGAATGTTAAAATAGACATGTAGACAAGGTGTGGTGAGAGGAGAAAGGGGACCAGAGAAGGGTGCTCTGGGAGTTAAGAGTTGAGGGCCTTTGTCAGCCCCCCTCAAGAAGGGGAATAGACCTAGGTGGCACTTTGTTGAGGTCAAGAGCATACTCTAAAGCCAGCCAGCTGGAGTTTGAATCCTTGCTCTGCTGTTGCTAGTTGTATGGCCTAGGGCAAGTCACCTCGCCTCTCACTGCCTCAGTTTCCTCATTAGAAATATGGGTGACAGGGAAGGTTGAGATAACACATGTAAAGCATAAGTAGCATGGTACCTGGTATAAAATAAGCCTTCAACAACTGCTTGTTGTTATTTGTAATACTGGCTGTGTTTGAAAACTTTCTAAAATACTTTCACACTGTTGAGGATTTAGGGGCATCACCTGTTACCTTATCAAGAACTAAGAGGAGCCAAACAGATTTAAACCAAAATATCAGCTTTATTAATTGATGAAAGCTGGCTTGGAGGGCCTGGCTTAGGTGGGCTGCCTCATCTGTCACTCTAGAATTAAACAAATGCACCCAAAGGCAGCCCTGGGCTACTGTGGCCTCTCTTGGGGCAGTGCCCACACAGGGGAACTCCCCACAGTCTGGGGAGAACAGGCTATACCCTCAGGATCTCCCTGGAAGACATATCCCAGAGGGCAATGTGGAGCATGCTGGCTCCCTTTACCCAAATCGACCCAAAATGGGTGGTCAGCAGAAGCTCTCACCTCTCTTCTTGGCAGTGCCCTGAAGGTGACATCAAAGGAACCCAAGGCCAGAGGAAGGGAGTTTTACCCCCAATACAAACTTTCATACTAATTTAATTTTTTTTGTTTGTTTTTGATTCAGTAAAAGCCATTTAGAGTGTGATAAGGGTAGGTAAATTTTTAGTTAACTTTTGGGCATTATGTTTGCTTTGTTAAATAGATTAAGATCACTATCAACTCTTTTACACCTCATAGGTTTTTGGTATGTGTAGGAGTTGAGGGAGGGGATGTTGGACATGTCTAGATAGTTGTACAAGTTGAGGCAGCTGAGACCCATCAACTCAAAAAAGTTACTTATCTACCCCAGATACAATTATCTTAACTGATTTAACCCTCCCAGCAACCTGGGGGAGAGGTACACTTAGCATTGCCGGTTTAGAGAAGAGGAGACTATGCCTCTGAGGGGTGCATGGCTTATACAAGGTCTTGTGGCCAGTAAGTAAGTGGTAGAGCCAGGATTTGACTCCAGAGCACATTTTTAAAACTATTATGTCAATTTGCCTCCTTAAACCTTGCTTTGGGAGATATTTTCTTTCTTTTTTTTTTTTTTTTTTTTTTTTTTTTTGAGACAGAGTCTCACTCTGTTGCCCAGGCTAGAGTGCCGTGGTGTCAGCCTAGCTCACAGCAACCTCAAACTCCTGGGCTCAAATGATCCTCCTGCCTCAGCCTCCTGAGTAGCTGGGACTACAGGCATGTGCCACCATGCCTGGCTAATTTTTTCTATATATTTTTAGTTGACCAATTAATTTCTCTCTATTTTTGGTAGAGACGAGGTTGCTCAGGCTGGTTTCGAACTCCTGACCTTAAGCGATCCGCCTGCCTCAGCCTCCCAGAGTGCTAGGATTACAGGCGTGAGCCACCTCGCCCAGCCTGGGAGATATTTTCTTAAGTCTTTTAATGAGGTTTAGATAATTTGACTCCTAGGATTTTAGAACTGGTCAGGGTCATGCAGTCATCCTGTAGACACCCATCATTTTATTTGTAGAAACTGAGGCCCAGAGTGTAGGCATTAGGAAGTCCTATATCCTCAGTGAGAGCTGGCCCCCAGGCCTCCTGACTTAAAACCACTATTCTCTCTGGCTTCCATCAGAATCAGATTCAAGAGGAAAATGAACTTCTGTGTGTGCCTAAAGTGGCTTATTTCAGGAGAGGGGAAAAATGAACCAGAGAGAAACACATAGGTATTAACTTAGAGACTTTCGGGTAAGCCTCCATTGGCCTTCTCCCTTTCATGCCAAGAACATTGAGAATTTCATTACAGTAGGTACAGAATTATGTGATTTTTAAAAGCAGATTATTATCTTACCCCTTCTAAACTTTCAAGTTAGTTTCTTCTTCCAGTAGCAAAGGCTTATTGACAAGGAGTTATATCTCCCATGTATGAAGTTCATCAATGGCACTATTTGGTTCTGCAGTGGACAGTAGCTATAAAGATTTTATTGTGAATGCTGTGTTTTAGTGTTTGATTTTTACTAGCAATTGATAGACAAAGCATTAAAACATTAATTGTAGTTATAGAACAAGTGTGAAAATAATAAAGCATGCTGAAAAGGAGGTTTGGAGGTAAGGAGGTGGAGGAAGGGAGAGTGGTGTTGATTTCTTCAACAAACCTGAAGGGAGTTAAGAGAGATGTACATTTGAGCAGTCACAATAGGGCTTGGGGCTATAGTTTAAATGTGTTGACTGTAAAGACACCACACTAAGCAGCACAGCAGAGTTGTTCAGAGTACAAATCCAGAGCAAAACTAGCAGGGTTTCAGTATTAATACTTGCTCTGCCACCTTGAACTCAGCCAGATTACTTAACTGTGCATTGGTTTTCTCATCATAAAATGGAGCCAATAATAGTTTGTATCTCATAAGGTTGTTTTGAGAATAAAATATGTTACTCAAGTGCTTAAAAGAGTGTCTGGAACATAAAAGTCATGAGCATTTCTCATGCAGCTGCTGCTGAAGGAAAACAACAGAACTAAAAAGATTTCAATCAGCAGAGATTGGGAAGAGGAAGGTAATAGTTTGAGAGTTTATTTTCTCATGTATTAAAATAGGACAATAAACACTGTTTAAAATTGACAAGTTAAGAAATACAGGTGTAACCATATTTGTAGTGGTGGTGGCAATCCACAGAAGAATCAAAAACAGGTCTAGTGAATATGCTTGGCACTGGTGTATGAAACTCTGGGAGACTTTCTGTTTTGAGGTTTTTTTAAATTATCATAAGCATGTATTATATTTTTGCCAACATTCTTGAGTAGTTAATAAATGATAAACTTCAGATATTTAAAATAAACAATTTGATAAGTTTTGACATACATGAAACCAGCACCACAAAGATAAATAAATCTCCCCCACAAAAAAGCCAGATTTAAATTTCTTAGTCTAAATAGTCTGTTTAGTAACTTTTGTATGGGCTTTAATTCTCATTGAGCTACAGCATCACTTACTCCTTGAAGTAAAAAAGACATTCTGGATTATTTTCTTTTAATGATACAATGTTTTTGAAGTCTGCATCTTCATATTCAGGTGATCTTATGCATCCTAAATGAAACCATCAAGCTAATAAGAACCTCCAGTGATTTTTTTTTTCTTTTTTTTTTTTCCATGAACATTTAGTAGTTAGATGATAGGATTTCAGACATTGGAATGTGAAACAGATGATTAAAGTCTTCCCTAGGCCATTACAACTATTTGGTTTTCGAAAGTTCCATCCCTGCTGACGTAGGTGATGCTAACTGGAGCTGTCAAAAAAAAAAAAAGTTCCGTCCATTCTGTGGGCTGTTTCCTCTGACCAGGGCTTTCTGAACGTATATGCTGCATGTTCAGTTAGGATTCACAGGCACAGGAAAAATGTTGCTGAAATCAGTGTCCCGATTGAATAAAGCTTGACTTCCCCACTCCAGGACCAGCAATTACCGCTTCCCACCTGGAGCTTCCCTAAGTGGTGCTGGGACGGGAGCAGGCACTCTGCTCTCCCTAAAGCAGCTTCAGTTTTGGAGTCCTGAGTATGAATTGGAGATGTCATTTCAATAGAAACCAGACTAAGTTTTGTAGTTAACTCAGTTTCGTGATATCATTAATGCTAGAGCTGAGCTGTGCTCTGGGTCCAATGTGGGGATTTCTGTGGTTTTTTGGTTTGGTTTTTGTGGGCTGGCTTGGGCAAATAACTGCCTTTTTATATCATTGTTTCTGTGGGGAAAATGCATTCAGTATTTCCAACAGAAACACAAATGAACTTTTTAAACACAGCCTGTTCACAGTAGCTTGTAATAGCACTTGACAGAGGGCTTTGTGTTTAAAATAATGTAGTTAGTCTCAGCCTAAGGGCAACATGTTTCTCCAAATCATAGACTTCCCTGAAAATCATAGGACAAATGTGTTAAGATTGATTTGATGTTGAATGAAACTTAGAGGACAAATGTATTAGGATTGATCTCATTGGTTTTATTTAGAGTATTATGATATTTCTTAGGGAAGGGGCTGTTGAACTTAATGGCATCTTTCACAGGTCAATAGTAATGTGTCCATGATGATGATGTTCTGTATTTTAACTAACAGGTTTTCAGGAGGCCTGATATAAGGGTAAGGCTATTTGGCTTTTGTCAGATGGGCCTCCTCCTTGTGTGTCTGTGCTTTATTGAACACTTAGTCTATTTAGTGTTCTTTACCCTCTCAGAGGGTTTTTATGAGTCACTCAGATGAATTTGCTCTGCTGTGTCATAGCTTTAAGTGTTCACTAGAAATGCTTTATTTGTTACAATGCTTTTAATGTGCAATAAAAGCCAATGTGTGTTAGGGCAGGATGCTGAAATTGTTACCAATGTGCAATACTGACTTTTGTACTAAGTGAATTATGACCAAATGGATATTCATGGCCGGGGTTATAAGGCTAGGCCTACTGAGGCTTCTTTTAACCTTGTTTATCATGTAATTCATGCTAAAGAATTCAACAACCCCCTAAAAAGTGGTCAGCTGTCTGTCCTATCTTAAATAAAATTTCAAGTCATGTTTGTGTTTGAGTGTTGAATCCAAAAAGCAGAAGTGCTAATTTTAAAGATAAAGTTTGTAAAATCAATCCCCATTAGTATTTTTAAAAATGCATATATAGTAAATTATAGCTTATATTTTCCTCATGATTTTCCTTCCCTTTGTTTCAGAGTGTTCATAAAGCAAGACAAAGATTGGTAACGTGCATGCATTTAAACCGTAGTATCAGATATTGAAAATTAACCTATTTTCATTAGATGAAAACAATGTGGATTTTGACAGTATCATTTAATGATTTCAGTTTTAAATTTTTAATTTTATTAAGGCCAATGAAGTAGTACAAAAATAAGAAGGTTAAATCCAGTTCTTATTCTAGTCGGTTTACCTTTGTTTAATCTTGTTTTCACTATGTTTTCTTTTGCTTGTGGAAATCATTTTCTTTCATCAGTTCACATTGTTAAATATTACTATTTAGCTTTACACTTGCATGACTTTGAAATGTATGAGTTTTTTTTGTTCATTTTTCTGTTTTTAAAATTTTAAAGCAAAGAATGATTAGATTTTCTTTGTATTTAAAAAAGGAAATTTCAAAAACTGGCTGCATTTAAAAATTACACTGCCTTGAAGGGTAGCTTTGCCAACTGTGTGCTAAATTAAATTGGAGGATAAAGTATAAAAATGTGATAAGTAGTTATTGTACTTTGTTGACAAAAACAAAAGGTGGGAAATAGTAAATTCTTTTAAAAGCTCTACTGTTTCTTCACTAGTTGCCTTTTAAAGAAATATAGTCATTAGAACCAAAGTGTCATGAAGCAAAAATATAACTATGCTAAATTTTGATATTTTATGCTTCAGAGACTTGATACAACTTTAGAAAGGAGTTGTAGTCTTGTCTTCAGTATGCATATTCTTTATACCAGCTGCTGAATTAAAAATCCAATTTTTAAAGTTTAAAAAAATTCTATGAAGAAATTAAGAACAATATACCTTTAAAGGGATTGGAAAAAATTTAAATAAGGATGTGTGACCTCTTAGCTGTTTCTTTGAAACATGTTGATAAAGTAATTAGAAATATTTAATATGATATTGATTCATAAATCACAGTATTAGCAATAAGCAATAACATGTGTGTGTGTATATATATAATCTCTAGCATGTGATATTTGCATGCATGCAGTGGAATTGATCCCTGGGCAATATAATAGTTCTTTAGAGTATTTGAATACTTACTGTGTTTAAAATACATGTCTATGAATGGCCTTTGTATTTAGGCTTGACTTTGCCCTTTACCTGGTTTCTGTGGATGCTTTATTTTCTGTGAGCACATTATGTGCCTGTTATTTTTCTTTGCTATATGCTATAGTATTGCTTGATTTTTAAAAAGATAGTGCATCTTTGAAATCTGCGATGTTTGTTTGCTTTTCATTTTTCTACCCTAACACACAGACTAGATACTCCATTTTAGGCTGAGGATGCTATAGATGGCCTACACGTTATTTCCTTAACTCCAAGGGGGAAAATGTTGTGATTTGCAAAGCTGTGAAAGGTGTGTTGACTTTTACATGCTTACTGTCTCTTTAAAAAAGAAATTCTGTCCTTTCACCTGTCTGTTTGCACGTGTTTCTCTTTCTCCTCTTTGCCTTTTCTTGTCCATGCACCTGGTGCTGTGCAGGAGATTCAGGAAGAACACAATGGCTACCCTTCTGAAGCTGAAGCTGATCAGGTGGCAAGTTCTACATGTTCATCTGTGTGTAGCTACAGATCATGTATTTAGAAGCCATTTCATACTAGATTTCTAGATGATAAGCAAACCTTTCCAGATGCTTTTACCACTACAATAGTGCCCTCCTGTTCAAATTTGGTAGATTCCATCATGACATTATTTGCTAAAATTGGTTTATCCAACATTTTGTCAATCAGCAATTTGTTCATCTGTGCTTCTCAGTTTCCCCAGATAGGGTTATTGATGAATCTAATGACCCTCCATCACTGTAGGATTCTGTAGTCCCTTTACAAAGACATAGAGGGGACAGATACACATGCTAAGGGTGCTGCTTGAAGGTGCGGACGTTGCTTTATTCAAATTTACATGGTCTGTGCCCACCATGGTACCTGGTACCTTGTAGGTATTTATAGAATGAGTACATTCTGATTTATTAATCAGAATACAGAATTATTCATTGAGTATTCTTGAGTGTTTACTCTTTGCTTAGTACCTTTAGACCCTCACTGGAGTTTTCTAAAGCAGCAGTACTTTCCCTAGGGCTTGTGTAGAAATTCAGTATGTGAAATCAATAGAAGAGCAGCTTCAGGGAAGCATGGCAAGCCACAGATGCTCAGCTGTGTATTTGTCTACCACCACTCAGCCCTACCCTCCTTTAGTGGCCCTGGAAGCATCTTGAAGAGCCCAATTTGAAAACCACCGCTTTTGGCGTGCAGCCATTATATAAACTATCCACCTGGCAGCTTAGATTTAGGTGGAAGAGAAAAGTAGTGGGAGAGGCCAGGGTCATCCGGGTGGGCTGGAGCCCTCAGGAATAAACTCAGGGAGCTGGCAGGTGTCAGCTGGACCTTCAGGGTCACTGGAACAAGGTTGGGATAAGCTTATCAGAGGGAATTCCTCAGCTGGGCAATCTTTGAGCAAAGGCACCAAGAGGAATAGGTGTGTTTATGAGATCAAATTTAGTTCACAATAATATTCCATCCTTTGATTGTGCTGAACATGGCTTGGATAAAGCAAGGGTCAAATTATGTCCTGTGTAACCTGGTAGTTGCAATAAAAGCTTAATATAGCATAAGTGTGAGTCCCATCTCCTAACACCAGCTTTATAAAAGGGAATCTACTCACCAAAACAAACAAAACAAACCTTTTAAAATCTATTCTCCTCTTAAACTCCTATGCTAAAGCTAAATGTGTTTCTTTTACAAAATGAACCTTTTATGGGGAAATCTGAAGCAGTCAGATCATTTGTTTCATTTAGATAGTTGCTTTTTCATCATTTAAAAAGCATGTCCCAGATTTAATTATCACTAGTGAGAAGTTTGTCTTACTATGTCTCACCAGCACATACATGCCTCATAAATGTACAGATGTTTCAAGCCAAACTTGACATGACTATGGGGAGAGAAAAAAAGTTTGATTTTCAGCCTCTACCTTGAGAGTCTTGTGCATTCTTAAAATGGTCCCAATCACCTCCATCTCCCATCTGCAACATTTTGTTAGCTAGTCCTGGGTTGAGGACTTTAAAATGTTGCTTGCTCTAAAACTTAAAGGGAGTCATATCTTCCCAATCCCCTCCAGATTCAGTTCATTAAAGCAGTTTGTGTTAGTAAATATATTTCAAAATAATCTCCATTTATTTTAAAATATAAGTTGAGAAATTCTGTATGATATATAGTAATATTTAGCCATTAAAATAAGCTTTAAAAATATAACATTTGAAGTAAATTAGACCTCTGATATTGATTAAAATAGCTTTCTCACTTTCTGACTATGTTATAAAATTAGTCACTAGTTCAGGCAACAAATTAAAGCAGACTCAAATTAAGGCTTTTATTAAGATCTTTTAGTGTTTCTAAAATTGGACATTTAAAAATATGCTGGTTTATGCTTTATTGTAGAAGAGATATAATTCCAAATCAAATGTGAGTATGTGAGTATAAAATTGAAACCATAAATTATCCTCCGCATCCCCTTTAATGTGATAATTAAAAAAAAATTTGGCCCATACTATCTTTAAAAGCAATGTAGATGAAAATTTTAAATTGAATAAGTTGTTTGAAGGTAATGATGACTTCTAATCTGTATTATTTTAACCATGTATCTTTTGATGAGGAGGAGAATGGACCATGTCATTTTGTGCCCTCCCCATAGAGAACAGACATAAATCTGATGAATATTTAGCATTAATTTTGCTATTTATAGTTTGACTTTTTTCCTTTATCTTATAAAATTTGATGAAACTACTAGCGTTTCTAAATTGACCATTAAGTTTCTCTGATAAAACATATTGACATTCTGATAACTATGAAAAAGTTTGTTGAATTTTCAATAACTTAGAATTATTAAAGACATCCATTTTAAAATACTTTGCTTCAGGGCCGGGCGCTGTGGCTCACGCCTGTAATCCTAGCTCTTGGGAGGCCGAGGCGGGCGGATTGCTCAAGGTCAGGAGTTCAAAACCAGCCTGAGCAAGAGCGAGACCCCGTCTCTACTATAAACAGAAAGAAATTAATTGGCCAACTGATATATATATAAAAAATTAGCCGGGCATGGTGGCGCATGCCTGTAGTCCCAGATACTCGGGAGGCTGAGGCAGAAGGATCACTCAAGCCCAGGAGTTTGAGGTTGCTGTGAGCTAGGCTGACGCCACGGCACTCACTCTAGCCTGGACAACAAAGTGAGACTCTGTCTCAAAAAAAAAAAAAAAATACTTTGCTTCACAAAATTATGCTGAAAACTTGGTATTGTTCGACCTGTTTTCTGCTGAACACTAGTGGCCTCCGATGTTAACAGGTGTTCCTTTGAAAAAGCAGTCCCTGATAAGCTAGGTATGAGAAATGTATTATACTCTAGTGCCCTCTTGCTGATTCAGTGTACATTAACACATTAGACTTGTCTCGCTGAAAAACAGCTTAACTTCTTTTGTTTAAGCCAGCATTTTCCAAACTTAACAAAAAAAAAGACTTAGTCACATCTCTTGGGAAACTAATGCTTTATGAAACACAGCTTGGGAATTGCTGGGGTTATGATCACCTTATTCTTATTCATGACACATTAAGTCAGAAATTCCAAGGAGAAAGTAACTGGTTTCCTTGGCAACATCTCATAGTTGGTGGCAGTACCTTGGAATAGCCCCCGAGTTCAGGCTCTGGTCCCTAGCTTTGTAGTTGAAGAACACCATTTTCTCACTATGTATAATAACCATAGTTATCCAGCACTATCCAACTAGACTTACAAGAGACTGGCTACTGGGCTGCAGTGCCAATCTGGTCATTTAAAAATGTGGTAATGTGTCTTTCCAGCCATTCATGGCATCCTTTTCCTAGTAAAATGGTAGCCAAAAAACCTAGTAAGTCACTAGCAATTTTCTTGGTGAGTGTGAAATGAGTACAGAGTGAATTGGCTTGGGGAGATGCCTGATGAACACATACTGCTCTGCAGTATGGATTGAAATACTCTTGTCTGCCAGATGAGAGAATACTCTGGGCGAACACTGACAATCTCACTCTTCATGTCCCCTGTCCACCTGTGCACGCGCACGTAACTGGCTTCAGTACCAAAGCCTAGGACTTTCCTTAATTATATATTCTCCTGAGAGCATTCCCTAGGCATTTTAATTAGACTCCAGGCTTCTCCAAACTATCTCATAGGCTGGGTTATTTCTACAGCTAGCTAAGCACCCACATCTAGTGTTGATTTTATTTGTATTAGTTTCACACTCAGAAGGTAACCTTTTTGGGACCTTATTTCCAAATTCTAGAGGTACCTTATGATAGCTATCTATGTAGTAATCATAGTATTTATCTGTCATGTCAAGCCATTTCTGTATTAATGCTTTCTAACTGTGAAATTTAAAATGTAACAATTTGCTAGAATATGCAGCATGATGTCCTGTGATGCTAAGCTTTGAAATTGTCTTTTAAAGGGAAGGGGGCTTACATTTTGCACGCTTATAGCAACAGCACAGAACACCAAAATTCTTCTCAGGTATGCAGATGGAAAGTGAGAGTTACTCCTGTTTGCTTCTTTGCCAGGCTCTGAGGGATGGAAATAAATTGGCACAGATGGAAGAAGCACCACTTTTTCCTGGAGAATCAATTAAAGCCATTGGTAAGTTTAATGTATACACTTTGCTTATAGAAATCCATAAAATGAAATGGCCCTTTATTTTCCAACACATGTAATGTATGTGCTGGAGATCAGCCAGACCAATTTAAATAGGGGACAAATGGACTCAATCTATTCATTCTTATTAGTGTCATCATGGCCTAACAGATAGAAAATTGTAGAGAATCCTGTTAAGCTCCAATTGAGTATTTGATGGCATTTCCAAAAGAAGGGTCTGACGTTTTGTGATGAACTGGAAGCTGATCAGATAGTCAATATAATGTCAGTTCACTGTTTTGTTGGAATCCTTCAGTGTAAGAAAAATGTATTTATAGAAGATCTGTATCATATTTTAATAACAGTTTTGAGAACTTGGCAAGGAAATTTTAGTGGCTTATAAGATTCCAAAAAGTACAATCTCAGTGCAAGAAAAAGGCATGTGTTGCCAATGCTGGCTTATGATGGTGGTGACATGAGGGCTCCCATAGTCTTCCATGGTATTTGCCAGGCCTTTTAGGAGGTAGTTGATTGTGCCGTGGGTGGATGGAGAGGGACAGCTGGGTGTGACCTTTTCATCTTTTCAATTGATTGAATTGGACAGTCTGGCTCTCTAGGCTTAGTGTTTCCTTTTTCCTTCATGGCTCCCTCCCAAAGATCTGTGCACAGTCTCAAAGTATGATCATTTGTGTCAAGAACGTTTGAGTAGCTGGGCTCTCCTACCAGAACCTCCAAACAACTGCTACTGCTGCATATCCTAGTCTCTGCCTCTGGACCATGCTTAGCCTGTCCTTGTCCTTGATTTTGAAATTCTTTCTTTCCTTGGGTTATGGGACTTCATTCTCTTCTGTATGTCCTCTGGCCTATCTGTTCCTTCTCTGGGTGAGTGGTGTTCTAGCCCTGCTCACATGCTGCTTTCTGAATGATCTATTTAAAATACAGAGCTAATTATGTCATAGGCCTGCTGCTTTTCCAGACAAGAAATCTCATAGATTTTTAAGTGTACAATGTGAAGAAGGTTTTTTTTTTCCACTTTATTTTTATCTTTATTAGTGGACCAAAATTAACTTAAAAGAGATTATTGCTGATCTAGGTTGATTGATCACTTTCTACATCACAGACACATTTTGAATTAGCAGGGAGTATTATAAAAGCTTGGATTGCAAACTTGCAGTTGTCTTAGTAAGAAGAGAAGGCTTCAGTGGATCCAGGTGTGGTCCTAGTGCTCTGTCTCTCCTGTTTGCTTCTACTTTCACTGTGGAAACAGAGCTCAGAGATGGGGAAGCTCCCACCTGGCCTCCATTCCAATCCATTATCGGAAATATCTTAGAGTTAGATGTTAAGAACATATGTAAGTCCTTAAGCAAATAAGTGTGCTTTATGCTCCTCCAGTGGCTTGCAAAGGGTAAGTTAATTAACCTCTCCTTTTAAATAAAATATATTCCTGGAGGCAAAGTGTTAAAATAGGTCATTGTAAAATATTCCCTATGGAGTATTATTTCAGTTTGTCTTTGTGAGAATGTGAAGAGTTTTAACAGTATATACCTGGAAAACCATCGTCACAGTCAAGGTAATGAACATATCCATCACCTCCCAGAAGTCTCCATTTCTTGATGCCCCTTTATAATCCCTCCCTCCCATGCCATTTCCCCCTTCCCCAAGCACTATAGACTAGTTTATATTTTCTAGTATTTTATAGAAATGTAATCATAGAGCATGTTCTTTTTGTTGTCTAGCTTCTTCCAATCAAACAATTATTTTGGTAATTCATCCATATCATGGCATAGGTTAACAGTTATTCCTTTTTATTGCTGAATATAATTCCATTGTATGGATACATGAAAGTTTGCTTATCCATTCATCTGTTGGTGAATATTTGGGTTTCTACTGTTTGGCACTACAAATATAGCTACAGTGAACATTAATATGCAAGTCTGTATGGATGTATATTTCCTTTTCTCTTGGGTAAATACCTAAGGAATGGAGTGGCTGAATCATATGTATATAGTTAGTTTAAGAAGTTGCTAAGGGTTTTCCAAAGTGGTTGTACATTGTACCAGTATATGTTCCCACCAGCAGTGTATGAGCATTCCAGTTCTTCCTTTCCAATCTGAATGCCCTTTCTTTTTCTTTTTTTTTGGCCTTAATGCTCTTGCGTGAACCTCCAGTATAATGTTAAAAGAGAAGAGGTAAGAGCAGACATTCTTGTATAGTTCCTAATCTTGGGAAAGCTTTCAATCTTTCATCATTAGCTATGATATTAGCCTGTAGGTTTTTTGTGGATGCCCTTTGTCATGTTCAGGAAATTCCCTTCTATTTCTAGTTTGCTGAGAGTTTTTATCAGGAATGGATGTTAGATTTTATAAAATGCTCTTTCTGTATCTATTGATATAAGCATGTGATTTTTATTCTTTAATATGGTAGATTACATCAATTAATTTTTGAATGTTAAATCAACCTTGCATTCCTAGGATAAACTCAACTTGCTTATTACATATTTGTTTTATATATTGCTGGTTTTGATTTATTTTTTATTAAAATATTATTTTGCATCAGTATTTATGAGAAATAATTGGTTTGAGAGATAGTGGTCTGAGGTTTTTTTGTAATGGCTTTGTCAGATTTTGGTGTCAGAGTAATGCTGGCATCATAGAATGAATTGAGAATTATTCTCTCTTCTCCAGTTTTCTCCCCCCTCTCCTCCCCCTTCTTTCTTCCCCCCTTCCTTCCTCCTTCCCTCTCCCCTTCCTTCCCCCTTCCTTCTCCCCTTCCTTCCTCCCTCCTTCCCTCTCCCTCTTCCTTCCTCCCCCCTTCTCCCCCTTACTCTCACTTACCCCCTTCCTTCCCTCCCTCCCCCTCTTCCTCCCCTCCTTCCCCCCTTCCTCTTCATTTTCTGTCTACTTCTATCAAGAAGAGTTTATTTCTTCCTTGACTATTTGGTAGAATTTACCAGTGAAATTACCTGGACCTTGAGTTTTCCTTGTGGGAAGGTTTTAACTATAATTTTAATTTCTTTAGTAGTTTTAAGAATATTTAGGTGGTTTTTTTTTCTTCTTTGGTAAGCTTTGGTAGTTTGTCTTCCTAGGAATTTGTCCATTTAATCTAAGTTGTCAAATTATTAGTTATTAACCATATTTATTTATTATTCATTTAATATCTGTAGAATTTGTAGTGACATCACTGTTTTTCATTTCTGATAGTTAATGTGTATGTCTTCTCTCTTTTTTTCCCCTCTGATCAGTCTGGCTAGAGGTTTATCAATTTTATTGATTTTCTCAAAGAATTAGCTTTTGGTTTTATTTTCTTTGTTTTCTATTTCATTGATTTCTACTTTGATCTTTATTATTTCCTATCTTCTGCTTGCTTTGGGTTTAATTCACTCTTCTTGCAGTCATTGATTTGAGACCTTTGTTCTTTTCTAGTATAGGCATTTCTTGCAAGTGCTGCTTTAGCAGCATCTCGCCAATTATGACCTTGTGTTTTTATTTTTATTCAGTTCAAAATACTTTTGAATTTCCCTTTTGATTTTTTCTTTGACCCTTGTGTTATTTAGGAATATGTTGTTTGGTTGCCACATATTTGTGAATTTCCTGTATTTTCTCTTGTTATTGGGTTCTACTTTCATTGTGTTCAGAAAAGATACTTTGTATGACTTAAATATTTTTATATTTATCAAGACTTGTATGGCCCAGAATATGGTCTGTTTTGGTAAATGTTCTCTGTGCACTGGAAAAGAAGGTGTTTTCTGCTGTTGTAAAGTAGTGTTCTATAAACATCAGTTAGGTTTTGTCGATGGTGGTGTTCAAGTCTTCTGTGTTCCTTACTCATTTTCTGTCTACTTCTATTGATTATTGAGAGAGGAGTTTTGAAATCTCTGACTATAATTGTGGCTGCATCTGTTCCTCCTTGCAGTTCTATCAGTTTTGCTTCATGTATTTTGAAGTTTTGTTATTAGGTATGTAAATGTTTAGGATTATTATGTCCTTCTGATGAATTGGCCCCTATATTATTATGAAATGACCTTTATTAGTCCTGGTAATATGGTTTGCTCTGAGATCTACTTTGCCTGATATTATTATCAACATTATAACTTTCTTTTAGTTAATATTAACATATATTTTTGAATTGCAAAGGTGTTTTCATCCTTTGAATTTCAAACTATTCGTGTCTTTCTGTTTAAGGTGGGTCTTTTTCAGGCCACATATAGTTGAGTCTTTTGTCTTCAATTTGGTAATCTCTGCCTTTTAATTGGGGTGTTTAGACCATTTACATTTTATATAATTAATATAATTAGGTTTAAATCTATCATCTTGATAAGTGTTTTTTCTTTGTCCCATTTGTTCTTTGTTCTCTTTTTCCTCTTTTCTTTGGTTGAATTGAATACTTTATAGGATTCCAGTTTATCTCCTATTTTTCCATATTAATTATAATTCTTTTGTTATTTTACTGTTTGCTTTACATCTACTTTCAAATAAGTTTATGCTGCTTCATATGTACCATAAGAACTTTATAATAGTAGACTCTCACTTGTGTACTCCCAGCCTTTATGCTATTGTTGTCATCTATTTTATGTTTACATATGTTATAAACTCTACAAGACATTGTTTTTATTTGTGTTTAAAAAGTCAATTACCTTTTAAGGATAACAATAATAATAATGCCTTAGTATCCTATGAATAATAATACCTTAGTATCCTTCCTGCTCCACTCACTGCCTCAACCTCTCTGGCCTCATATTTCATCATTTTCATTATCCCCTTTGATCCAGCCATACTGACCTCTAACAATGTGCTGCTCTCCCCTTCTTCCCTTTCATCTCTCTTTCCCCCTACCCGCTTTCCTGCTGAGTTAAATTGATCCTTTTCTGAGCTTTTATCACTTTGTGTACACATCATTATTATGGCATTTATCAGACTATAGTATAATGGTGGTTTTTCTGTATAGTATCTTTCATGAGTCATGGACTGCTTATAGGCAGGACCTGTGTCCAGTTATTCCTAGAACCATAACAGTAGAGGGCACTCAGTACATAATGAGCTCTAGAAAAGTTTAATGGAATTGTTTTGAGAACTTGGCTGAATGACAACTTTAGTACCTTTCATTATCTCACTTGAACTCATCTGTAACTATGTATGTTCCTGTCATTCCAATGGAATGAAACTTTGGGAAAATCATGAAGATGTGTATTTGTGCTAGATGTGAGCTATTTAATGTTCATGGGAATTAAATACATTGTACACCTTGTTGATATTAACAAAAAGAAAATTAAAATTGACAAGGAAGCTGATAAGAAATTTGAAACAAGTCTTTTTCCACTTAAATTGATGTGATTCTACTTTTTATCATCTGTAAAGTAGTTTCCTTTGGAGGTATGTTAGAGAACAGGATTTCATTAGCTTTCATTAGTTTTAAGTTGCAGCAATTTATGAAATGGTAGCCCAGGGTCTTCAGAGTTTAATGTTTTTGAATATGATTAATTTATCACCCAGGAAAAATGTTAGCTACATGGGAAAATAATGCAAAATGTAACTTATAATGCCTTTTACATAAAACCTCACTAAGTAGCAAATCAGAATTTTGTTTAAAAAATTGAAATATGTTAGAAGACTGTTGATCTGTGTCTTTATTTAAAATAACACTTGCTATAATTCTTTTATTTAAAATTTCTAGAAAACTGGAATCACAAATATGTATATGTTTGGAAACTCATGTTAAGATTTATTAAAGCACAAGTCTATGGCAGTGGTTGCTATTTTGGTTTTTTTCTTTCAGTGAAAGATGTCATGTATATCTGCCCATTTATGGGAGCAGTGAGTGGAACCCTGACAGTGACGGATTTTAAGATGTACTTCAAAAGTGTAGAGAGGGTGAGTTTTTAAAAGTGTGTTTTATTTTTAAAAACACTTTGGAACACTAGAAGAAGAAAGTAAAAATTCCTCTAAAATTCCATCACTCTGAGATAGCCAAAGGTTGGGTTTTAAGATGTGCACATTTGCAAACAGATTTTTGTATCTTAAAAAAAAAAAAAGGCTGTTAAGGTACCACTTGAAGGGAAAATTTCATTATATTCTCAATATATACTTCCTAATGCATGCTATAACTCAGACTTCAGTGTATTAGCTGGGACAAAGAGGAAATGCGAAGCAAACAGACATGTTTTGTAACCTAGCAAAGACTTAAATATGAAAACTCAGTTGACTGACATTGATAGGCATTAATCTTAATTTTAAACCTAGGATCCACATTTCATCCTTGATGTTCCCCTTGGAGTGATCAGCAGAGTTGAGAAGATTGGAGCACAGAGCCATGGAGATAATTCTTGTGGCATAGAGATCGTGTGCAAGGTATAGTACAAACACCAGGGAAAACTAAAAGGGGGCAATCGTCTCAGAACTTTTTCTCACTCATTCTTCATGGTCTTTGGACAGTGGATTAATTTGTACTGTTAGTAACTCGCATGATTTCAGGACAGCGACCCTTTCAAATCTCATATCAACAAATTCAAACCATCGTGTAACCCCTTGAAGTAAGCCTTTTATTTTCTACTGAAGTATAGTTATCCCTCAGCATCAATGGAGGATTGGTTCCAGGACCCACCCCAACCCCTGGCATATGCCAACATCCACAAATGTTTAAGTCCCTTATATAAAATGGTATAGTGTTTGCGTATAGCCTGTATACATCCTCCTGTATACTTTAAATCATCTCTAGATTACTTATAATACTTAATACAATGTAAATGCTTTGTAAATAGTTGTTATACTGTATTGTTTAGGGAATAATGACAAGAAAAAAGTCTATACATGCTCAGTACAGGTGCAACCATTCATTCTTTTCCAAATATTTTCCATCCATGGTTGTTTCATTCCATGTATTTGGAACCCATGGATACAGAGGGCTGACTATTTTTCTAAATAACCTGGACCTATAACCTAAGTGCTGACACTGTTACATCTCAGAGTAATCAAGTAAAAGACCAATACATTTTTCCAGTTTGTTGTTTTAAGACTATTTTTCAGAACAGTGGCTGGTCAAAGGCTCCCTAAAGGGACAGCAATGTTTTATAAAGTCTGTGATTAAAAATGCAACTCAATTTCTTGGCTATGTTGGAATTTTCATCTTGAGCTGTACTTATTTTTGATTTTGTACCCTTCCTCCAATGATTTAAGTAGAAATGTGTGTGATTACTTTAATCATGAAGTCATTTAAGAAACACTCTACTGATGTTTTATTCCCAATGACTTTACCTCATGTAATACAATTTACTAAAAACCCTACCTGAAGTACCAAGAAAGAGATCTTGCCTGAAGAATCCAATTCCCCTTCCAAATTTTGGGTTTGGATTCCTGCTGATCTATTTGTTTTGATCAGATCTCTGAGGACAGCACCTTATCTCTGGTTGATACTAGACTAAAAGCTGGAATCCAGCTTTTCAGAGAACCCTTTGCTCTTCCAGATCATGAATCTTTTGGCTTATTAGACTCACATTAGGCTCTATGTGGCAGTTGTCTCCTTTGGTAAATTCTAGTTGTCCTTCTCAGGCAGGGTTCCATGTGCAGAACAATGGCAAGCAGTTACAGAACTTAAAGCAGAGAGGGGTGACTTGATTAATTCTGCAATTTTGAAGCATGCCATTCCCCTTCCAAATCTTGAGTAGCTTCCTATTATCCTTAGTCTAAAGGAAAAACTCTTTATCAAGACCCCATGTGTCTGAGCCTGACTCACTTTCCTTTGCAGCCTCATCTCAAGCTGCCTGCCCTCTTCTCATTCTTGTCATGCCAGTCATGTTGGCTTTCCTGTAGTTGCTCATACTCATCTCATACCCTCTCTTTCCCCCTGCCATACAAACACCAGGATCTTTGCACATGCTCTGTCTTTGCTTATAATGCTTCTCTTTCTGGGCAATCATAAATAGTAAGTCAGCTCAGTTAGCTACCGAGGTATATGTGTGTAGCCAGCGTAGCTTGGAGGGAGAGCAAGTCAGGAAATTATGTTGCTTAGGCAGGTGTCCTGTGGCTATTTTACAAAGATATTTTTATGGCTGGGGTGAGCATTTCTAACAACTCCTTTAAATGTTTTCTAGCTTAGAATTACTGAGGCCATGCCTGCCAGCCCTCTCAACTCATGCCTGAGAACCTTGCAAGGTTTGGGTTAATTCTTTTTTAACAGGTCATACACAATTCAAGAGGTACAAAAGCTGTATATGGTAAAAAATAAGTCCCTCCACCCAACACCCAGGTACCCTGTTCCACTCCTTGCAGGCATCCACTGTTACCAATTTCTAATGTACCCCTCCATAGATACACTAAAGACCATGCATATATAAGTGTGTAGTCTTTCTTTGAAAATATAAATGGTAGTATGTCATGTATACTGTTCTGCTCCTTTCTTTTTTTTTTTCCTTAACAATACATCTTGGAACTTCTTTATGTCAATACATATAAGAGCTGCTGCTTGTTTTTAACAGCTCTTTAAGATTCCATTAGCTGTACTTAGTTTACCTAGCTGTCCCCTATTGATGGACATTTAGGTTATTTCCATTCTTTTGCTGTTATAAATAATATCATAATAACATCACTTCTCAAATTGCTTTTGCTTTAGTTTGTTGTCATATTTTCAAATTTCATAGAATGTTAAAGAAGAATGAGGTTTTATGTTTAACAGGGGCATAGATTTTAAAAGGTTGAGGGGTACTTCTCAAAACACTGTCCTGGGAAGAAACCATACCATCAGAGCTAGTCTTAGGGGAATCATTCCTGCTGACTTGTGCTTGGGTTTTTGGCCTTGAGCTTGCATTGGGGGCATTTTAAGAAACTATGGTCTGGAGAAACAGCATTATATGTCTATTAGGATGTTACTGAGGACTACAGTCTACATGATACAGAGTCCTTTCTGTGAGTGTGCAGGGGAGAAGCGTCTGCCACATTTCTGTTTTATGGATGGTGTGAATTTTATAACTGACTCTTTTGGCAGCTTAAAAAGCACAATTCATTCCATAGCACACCTTTAGCAATTAAGTACACAGGACTTGTTGGCACAACTTTTGTGTATGAACCTTTTTCTTGGTTCCATCTGATGAATTTTTCCCTACATATGTCCCCTTTGTTCCAATTTTCTCAATTTCTTTTTTATCTTATTGCAGGTATTATTAAATTGCCTTTTGCTAGTTGGAGCAAGATAGAATATAAAATGAGAAACCGATTTATGGTATGGTATCTGGCTATTAGGTGCTCAATATATGTTGAGTAACTGAGTTTTGCTAATTGTTTAACAGGATATGAGGAACTTACGACTTGCTTATAAACAGGAAGAACAGAGTAAGCTAGGAATATTCGAAAACCTTAACAAACATGCATTTCCCCTTTCCAATGGGCAGGTAAATACACCAAAGTAAACCTTTTTTTGCATGTATTTGTGGGGGGTAGGTTCTAAAATTTTATGTTTAATTGTTCCTTTTTCCAGAGGTTTTCTTTATCCCTTTTTTCCCTCTATTGGTAACTAATATTAGAATATTTGGAATATTTCAATTCTGTGTAGTGATTAAGAAAAGCTGATAATTTGTTGCTTCAAAATTTACAGAAAATAGAAATCTTAATACATTCAGCTCTTACCAGAATTAAAAGCTTTAATATTGAGTATTTGATATAGAAAAGAGATACTGACATGTATTTTGTGGTTTTTATATCCAGACACTATTTGCATTCAACTATAAAGAAAAATTTCCAATTAATGGCTGGAAAGTTTATGATCCAGTATCTGAATATAAGAGACAGGTAAAGTATGTTGCTTATCAAACTGAAAATAATAGGTTGAGCATCTTTTTCTTTTCTAGAAAGCTACAAATACAGTGGTGGAGAAGAAACTTTGTCAAGCAAGTTGTGTGTAGGTATAACTTCTCCAGCTTGTAGGTTCTCCATCTCCTGGAGGCCGCCTTCTCCCTGTGCCAAACCTTCAACTCGGTCACTCTTGCTTATCCTGTTTCCAGAGGGCAAGTGAGACTCAAGGACAGGGGTTTAAAAACTAAATCTACCAGATGGCTTTTATCAGATGTTCTGGTAAAGAGTTGATGAGTAAAGATCCAAACGACTAACTTAAGTTAGAATTGAAGCATATGGTGTGACTACATCAGTCTGATATGGTGTTCCTGGGTCTGGGAACCCTTCAGTGTATTGTCAGCTTCAAGTTATTCCAATAAGATCTTATTTTCATGACATATAACATTTGTCTCTACCTTATATTTGGTATAATGTTTCATAGCACTTATTTTAGACATTTGTAAGAAGTATCCGTGTTTCTAAAGGACTTTCAGGTGTGTTTTCAAGAATAACATTAAACTCCTGGGGGTTGGACACGCTTGAAGCTCTGACTCGGGTAGAGCAAAGGCAATATATGTAATCTCAACATTTGTGCCCCCATAATATGCTGAAATAAATCAAAAAATAAATTAAAATAAAATAAAGAATAACACTAAACTCATTCTTTATAGAAAATAGGACAAGAAGTATATAGACCTGGGATTCTAGTGTATAATTTTCATCTTTTAATATGGTTTGGAAATTCTTATGGATCATTAGATTTTTAGAAATGTCTGGGAAATGGGTTATATGAGATAAATATATTAACTTTAAGTAATAACAACAAATTATAAATGGATTTTAGTTGAAAATAAAAAGTGGATGTGGTTCATGCTTAGTGTGTTTTCAGAGTATAAAAGTACGCTTTCCCCCCTCTTTCTTCCTCTCCAATACCCTGCAGGGCTTACCAAATGAGAGTTGGAAAATATCCAAAATTAACAGTAATTATGAGTTCTGTGACACCTACCCTGCTGTCATTGTTGTGCCAACTAGTGTAAAAGATGATGACCTTTCAAAAGTGGCAGCCTTTCGAGCAAAAGGCAGAGTCCCTGTAAGTAATAAATACTGTCATTTAGATAGAAACATATACTGTGTTAGATCTGTGTTAGATCTAATATGGAAAGATGCAAGACTGAAAAGAATCTAGTGAATAAAAATAGAAAGTAGAAAAATAAGCTTTTAATCCTGAACACATCTTTGCTTCTCAAGAAATACATAATTATATAAACAATCTTTTTGTTATGTCTCCCTCTTGTATGATTTCCTGTTACTAAGTACAAGGGTAACTTAAGTCACGCTCTCAAAACGTAGTAGAGAATACAAAGGAGTAGCAAGAAAGAGCACTGCATTGCGTTACCGATTGACATTGCTGTTTTTACCGACTCATCCTAGAGGAGATGCGTTCTTTCTTAGATGCTGAACGGAATGCTATAGCTGCAAGGGAAGAATACTGTTATGGAAGTAATAGAAGCCAGTGGGGAGTGATGGTTTGAACCTGGAGTTTGCACCTGTTATAATCCTGAGTCTTGGCCACTGGAGGAAAGTAGGAGTTTTGGTGGCAGAGTTTTAGATTTTATAAGAAACTATATATTCATTTTGTCCTCCCCCTGCCACATATGTTGTTGGGATACAAAAATGTTTTTTACACGCCTGTAATCCTAGCACTCTGGGAGGCCGAGGCGGGCGGATTGCTCAAGGTCAGGAGTTCGAAACCAGCCTGAGCAAGAACGAGACCCCGTCTCTACTATAAATAGAAAGAAATTCATTGGCCAACTAATATATATAGAAAATATTAGCCGGGCATGGTGGCGCATGCCTGTAGTCCCAGCTACTCGGGAGGCTGAGGCAGCAGGATCGCTTGAGCCCAGGAGTTTGAGGTTGCTGTGGGCTAGGCTGACACCATGGCACTCACTCTAGCCTAGGCAACAAAGCGAGACTCTGTCTCAAAAAAAAATGTTTTTTAAATTAGGAGATGATAAAACCAGTCAATCAAATAGGCATGGTGCTAGATTTTAGTAACAGTTTGCCTTAGGTTTTATTTTGCTTAGAATTATAGATTTTTGGAAGTAGAAGGGGATTTTTAGAGCTTACCTAGTCAGACTTGTTTCAACCTAACTAAAACATTGTGTCCCATAGCCAGTATACTCTGTGATTGGGCTGCCCACTCTCACTTTTGAGGAAAATATGTAGAAGAGACTATGCTTGAGAAGGGAACTGTTTTTCCTACCAAATAATTAGAGCATGCATTACTTGAAGAACTATACTAATATTTGTTGCTTAAAAACACTAGGTGTTGTCATGGATTCATCCAGAAAGTCAGGCAACGATTACCCGTTGCAGCCAGCCTCTCGTGGGTCCCAATGATAAACGCTGCAAAGAGGATGAAAAATACTTACAAACAATAATGGATGCTAATGCACAATCACACAAACTCGTCATCTTTGATGCTCGACAGAATAGCGTTGCTGATACCAACAAGGTACATTTTCGATAGCATTGCAGGAACATTGGATATTTGCACATGTACTATCTATAAATCATTATGTGGTTCGACTAACTTGTTGAATTCCTCACCACTGAAGTTAGAACCTTTTAGAGGAGTCCAGAGCTGTTCCTCCCCAGTATATACTCTGTGGGCTATGTTTGGTGTTTCATGTGGGTTGGGATGGTGTCTCTTCTTTGCTTCCCCACAATCCTGTCTGCTGAATCAATTAAGCAAAGACTTGGAAAAGAAATTATCATCTCAAGGATTAAGTATTTTAATAAAATAATTGTAAGGTCCTTGGAATTACCTTTAAGAAATATAGTGATTACTTGATTAATTCATACCTGATCTGAAGCTCTTTTAGAATGGAATCAGACATGTGAAATTGCAGATACACAAAGTTTCCATAAATCACATGGAGCACTGGTACTGTATGTCAGGTGACAAGACATGATCCAAACACCTCTGCAAACAGCTCCCATTTGATCTTTGCTGACTGCAGGGGGTAGGCTCCTTTGTATCTAGCAAAAGCTATGAAGTCAAGCCTGCAGTACCTGCTATCTTAATAGGAAAGGCTCTGGTTTGAATCATTTCTATTTCCCATGAATGATTTTCTGATTATGTTGCTGCAGGCAGGCATTTGGCAGTTCAGAGGACTTTGCCCTCTTCTCAAGTAATTTCAGGTGTTAGAAAGGTGATGACAACCCTTACCATCTCAGGCCTACTTGTAAAATGACACTTGGGTAGCACAAATCTAATGAGCACCCACTAGGGACAAGGTGCTAGGGGACATTAAAAAACAGACCAGTGAGGTGCTATCTGTAGGAGGTGTAAGCTTGATGAACTGGGCGAGCCAGAGAGGAATGACTAGCCCTGCATGTGGAGTTAGGTAGGGCTTCATGAAGGAGGTGCCATTTGATCTGGCTTTGCATAGTCAGTAGCAGAGATGGACAAGGCATTCTAAGCAGCATGAGTACCTGTCCAACTGTGTGGCAGTGCATATCATGCACAAGAGTGGCAAGAAGGAAGATGTCTAAGAGTGTGTGGTAATCCCTCTGTCCAGTGTCCCCCTCAGCAGTGCTTGTGAGTCCAACTTGGTTTCTCCTGTCAGCTTGCTCCTTTTCTTTCCTCAATGATTATGCCATCATTGACAACAGTCTCCATAAAGCCAGCGTCCTACCATTCCCATCTGGCTCTCGGGAGAAGCCATTGCCTTCTATAATACTTCAAAGAACAGACAGGCCATCAGATGTGTACTTAGCCATCTTCCTTTAGCACTAGAGTACCTACATGGGCTAGACATTCTACTACGCACTGGGGATAGCTGTGGTCAACTGTTCAGCTTAGTGGGAGAGACACATATCAAACAAGTAGCTGCATAAAATGTCCACGTGGCCTTCTGGATCCTTGAGTGTAGCCTTTTGACTGAATCCACATTTTACAGAACAGATCCTTTCATTAAAAGGTGCAGCAGAGAAAGATGAAGCTTTTCTTGCCTCCTTTGGTTCTTAAGAAAGAACAATCTTGAAATTAGAAGGCCACAGGTTCCCCACCCCTGCATGATTGTCTCCTTTCTAAAATGGGAATGACAGTATTACCTACTTCTTGGAGTGGATGTGAAGGTTAAATAAGGTAATACTGTAATATGCCCAGAACAGTGCCTATCCTTGAGAAAGCATTTGGTATTGACCTCAGAGTGGCCAGCTACATTCTCTTGACCCTCATGACATCATATCCCTGAGTTTCTCTCCCTCTCCAGTCTGGCATCTTGGTTTCCTTCACTCATCCTCTTCTCCTTTCCAATCTTTAAATGGCAATGCTCCTTGAACTTAGTCTGTGGTCCTTTTTGCTGCTCTATACAATCTCACCAGGCCATCTGCTCTGATAACATAACTTTAAACACTGTGTATATGCTGAGTTTAATACCACAGTTTCCATCCTGAGCTGATTCTTCCTAAGGTTGAGACTGAATTTCCATCCCATTGTATAGTTGACATCTCTACTTGGCTGTCACCTAGATCACAAACACTCAGTATATTGAAATTGCTCAGCATGGTAGGGTGGCTTTGGAATCAGTTACACATGGATTTTCTTCCAGGTTCTTCCACTTGGTGCTCTGTATAACCTTGAGCCAGTTACTCAACCTCTCTTTAAGCCTCAGGTTCCTCTTCTGCAAAATGGGGGATAGCACGAGTGTCTCCTGTCAAGGGTTGTGTGAGGATTAAAATTAAGTGAGCATAATTCACATAAAGGACTTAGCACAGTGGTGGGTACATCCTCAGTATATAGTACACAATGCTGACAAGCCCACCACCTCTGTGGTCAAGGGGATGCCCAGGTGTCTGACCTGGAGGGTGAATGGTGGTGTCAGTTACTGAGATGGGGAAGATTGGGAGAGGAACAGGGCAGGGAGGAAGATGGGAGGGAGTTTCCTGAGGCTATAACACAAATCACCACAAACTTTGTGGCTTACAACACCAGAAGTGTATTCTCTCTCAGTTCTGGAGGCCAGAAGTCCAAAATCTGGCAAGGCTGTGCTCCCTCTAAGGGTTCCAGGGGAGAATCCATTCCTTGCCTCTTCTAGCTTCTGGTGGCTTCCCCAGCATTCCTGGGCTTGTAGCCACAATGCTCTGATCCCTACCTCCATCTTCACATGACCCTCTCTTCCTCTGTATTTTTCTGTGTCTCCTCCTGTCTCTTCTAAGGATACTTGTGATGACATTTAGGACCCACTCAAGATAATCTGGGATTATCTCTTCATCTCAAGGTCCTTAATCACATCTGCAAAGACTTTTTTTTTTTTTTCAAATGAGGTCATGTTCTCAGTTGCCAGGAATTTGATGTGGATGTCATTAGCAGAGGGCCACTTTTCAGCCTACTGTAGGCTTCGTCAGTAAGTCCCCTTTGCTCCCACATCTGGTGGATCATTACTATGTCAGTCTCTACATCCTTCCTGTCACTGCCATATCCTAGGGAATTACAAAACATGAGAAAAGCTATATCCACAGAGGCAATCTTCAAAATATTCAACAGGGCAAGGGCAGTTGTTTGTCTTTTATTTCATACAGAAGAGATAGAAGCAGGACACCAAATTGCATGTCTAGAATAATTTTAAATGTGGCAGTGTATGTGTCTAGAAAACAGATAAGGCTAATATGTAAGTCCCCATCAGCTTATATATAAGATTGTTATATGCAAATATAGATAGTTTGACTTCTTTCTTCCCAGTCTGGATACCTTTCATCTCATCGTCTTGCCTGATTTCCTGGCAAGAACCTCTAGTACAAATGTTGACTTGCAGTGGTGAAAGAAGGCATTCTTGTCTGGTTTATAATCTTAGGGGGGAAAGCTTTCATTTTTCACCATTAGGTATGATATTAACTGGGTTTTTCATACGTGCCCTTTATGAGGATAAAGGAAGTTCCCTTTTATTCCTAGTTTGTTGAGTGTTTTTATTATGAAAGGGTGTTAGATTTTGTCAAAGGCCTTTTCTGCCTCAAATGAGATGATCATGTGTTTTTTTTTCCCATTCTGTTAATGTGGTATAATATATTTCATTGGTAAATTTTTGTATGTTGAACCACTGTAGTGATTGAATGATGTCTCCCCAAAATTCATGCCCACGTGGAACTTCAAAATGTGGCCTTATTTGGAAATAGTGCCTATGCAAATGTAATTAATTAAGATGAGATCATAAGATGGAGGAGTAGGGTAGGCCCTAAATCCAGTGACTGGTGTCCTTATAAGAAGGCCGTGTAGAGACACAGATACACATGAAAGGAAGATGGTGATATGACCATAGAGGCAGAGATTTGAGTGATGCAGCTAAAAGATGAGGAATGCCAGGGATTTTAGCAACCACCAGAAACCAGGAGAGAGACATGGAATAGATTCTTCCCTACAGCTTCCAGAAGGAATCAACCCTGCCAACACCTTGATCTCAGACTTCCAGCCTCCAGAACTGTGAGGGAATCAATTTGTAGTGTTTTAAGCCCCCAAGTTTGTGGTACTTTTTTTTTTAACAGCAGCCCTAAGAAGCTAATACAATCTCATTACATTCCTGGGACATACCACATTGGGTCATGCTGTGTAATCCCCTTAATATGCACTGGATTTGGTTTTCTAGCATTTTGTTAAAGATGTTTGCATCTATTTTCATAAGGGATATTGGTCTGTAGTTTTCTTGTGATGTCTTTGTCTCATTTTTGTATCAGGGCACTACTGGCTTCATGGAATGAATTAGGATGTATTCCCTCCTCTTCTATTTTTTAGAAGACCCATCCTCCCTTGCCTGAACTACAGCAGCAGCCCTGTCACTGGACTTCTGCCTCACACCCTGCAATCTGGTCTCCACATACGACCGGAGTGTGATCTTTTTAAAAATTGTATTTACTTTTATTATTATTGTAATTGACAAATAAAATTGTATGTTTATGATGTGTACAACATGTTTTGAAATATGCATATGTTGTGGAATGGCTATATAAAGCTAACACTAACATAACTCCCATACTTATTTTTTGTGGACACTTAAAATCTATTCTCTTAGTAATTTTTTAGTATACACTATATTGTTATTGACTACAGTCACCATGTTGTACAGTGACCTTCAAAGCATACAGCTCTGCACATCCTTCAGAGCCTTGAGGCATTGATATCCAGATTCTGAACAGGGCCTCTAAAGCCCTCCACCCACGACCCTTTCCATCCTGTCTCATCACACCTACCAGGTCCATGGCCCAGCTTTATGAGGCTGTTTTCAGTTCCTTAAACACATCTCGGTGTCATCTCAGAGATATGTTGAAGTCCTAACTCCTAGTACCTGTGAACATGACCTTATTTCAAAATAGGGTCTTTGCAAATGTAATCAAGTTAGGTTGAGGTCATGTTGAATTAGTGTGGACCCTAATGGTCATAAGAATAGAAGAAGAGGCAGACACAGATGGAGTGGAGATGGAGGCAGAGATTAGAGTGATGTGTCTATAAGCTAGGAATGCCTGGAGCTCCCAGAACTAAGGAGAGCCAAGAAAGGATCCTTCCCTGAGGTTTCTGTGGAAGTACAGCCCTGCCAACACCTTGATTTCAGTCTTCAGCTGAAAGATCAGTGAGAGAATACATTTCTGTTGTTTTAAGCCACCTGGTTTGTGGTACTTTTTTCTGGCATCCCTAGGAGACTCATATAAGAATATAGGAGGTTTATTAACAGATGAGTTTATTGCTGCTTTGGTGATCTATGTCTAGTAGCACTAAAAAGAGTAGAAAAGTTAACTCTAGATAAAGTGATGCATATCTTTTGTCTTTCACAGGCAAAGGGTGGAGGATATGAAAGTGAAAGTGCTTATCCAAACGCAGAACTTGTGTTCTTGGAGATCCACAACATTCACGTGATGAGAGAGTCACTACGTAAATTAAAAGAGATAGTGTACCCTTCGATTGATGAGGCACGGTGGCTGTCCAACATGGACGGGACACATTGGTTGGAATATATAAGGGTAAATAGGTCCAATATCTCAAATGCTTTCCGGTTGACTTCTCTCTGTTCATGCCATAAACATCTATATCTCCAAGTGGTTTCTCAACATTGCAAATAAGTGCCCTTTTGCTGTGTGCATGAGCCTCCGTAGTTTCCACCAGCAACAGCAGGGTCTGTGTAAAGGGCTTTTGTGACATGATGAAAAGGGGGGGATAGTGCTTCTCTCTGGTCAGGTTTTAAAGAACTTTGTGGCCCTTTGATAAAAGACCCTATTTACTGTAGTCTTTTTTAATGTAAGGTTTTTTTTTTTAATAAATGTGCTAATGTTTCCTAGTGATTCTCAATTGATTTCATGGCAATCTCATTTGGTTTATTGACCAGAACTTCCAAAGTTCTCTGCAGAATTATTTTATGCTGTAGTCAGAATTAAAAATAGCCTGGTCTAATATGCCTTCTTTTCTGAAGATGCTTCTGGCTGGGTCAGTAAGAATTGCTGATAAAATAGAATCTGGGAAAACCTCCGTGGTGGTACATTGCAGTGATGGTTGGGACCGAACAGCCCAGCTCACGTCTCTGGCTATGCTGATGTTGGACAGTTATTACCGGACTATTAAAGGATTTGAAGCTATCATAGAAAAGGAGTGGATAAGCTTTGGACATAGGTTTGCACTGGTAAGTTGAGACAGTGAAGTTTGTGCTTGACTGTTTGCTCTGCCGTATTCATGTGCACATCATGCGTGATGCACAAATGCACACACATGCATTAGCAGGCTTTCTCCTATGTATCAGACCTGAATGGCCATAATATAATACATGGACCTCAGCATTGTATGTTCCTGGTAGGGAGTTTTTGGGGGTTTTTTGTTAGCATAGTTTTTAACATAATTGAGGTAAAATGTACTTAACATAGAATTAACCGTTTTAAAATGCTCAATTCAGTGTCTTTTAGTGCACTTACAATGCTGTATAACCATCACCTCTGTCTAGTCCTGAAACATATTCATCGGCCCAAAAGGAAACCCTGCACCCATCAAGCAGTCACTCCCCATTTCCCCTTCCCCTCTAGCCCCTGACAACCACTAATCTGCTTTCTGTCTCTATGTAATTTTGCCTTTGCTAGGTACCTCATATAGGTGGAAATATATTTCTCCTCTCATGGCTGGGTTTATTTCACTAAGCCTAACATTTTCAAGGTTCATGTTCTAACATATATCAAATTTTCATTTTTTTTATAGCTGAATAGTGTTCCCTTGTGTGCATACACCACATTTTGTTTAGCCATTCATCTGTTGATGGACACTTGGGTTGTTTTCACCTTGGGCTATTGTGGACAATACTGGTATGAACATTGGTATACCAGTTTTTACCACAACAAGGCCACAGATTGGGTGATTTAAACAATAGAAATTTATTTTCTCACAGTTCTGGAGGTTCAAAGTCCAAGATCAAGGTGCATGGCTAATTTCTTCTGAGGCCTCCTCTCCTTGGCATGCAGATGGCCTCCCTCTTGCTGTCTCTTCACAGGGTCTTTCCTCTGTGCATGCAGCTCTAGGGTCTTTCTCTGTGTCCATATGTCCTCATCTCATGAGGTCAGATTGAGCTAGGGCCCCTTTAATGGCTTCATTTTAACTTAATCCCCATTGTAAAGGCCCTATCTCCAAATAGAGTCACATTCCTCAGGTACTGGGGGTTAGAGCTTCAATTTGCAGGGGCACAATTCATCCTATAACAACCTGCTTTCAATTTTGGTGGTGGAGAGCCTAAAAGAAGCCCTCCTAGAGGGAGGGAGGGGGTGAGTCCACAGCCTCTGAGCTGCATGCCTTCTGAGAGCTATTGGCAGATCCCTGGACACCTTCCTTCACCTCTCTTGCCTTGATTTCCTCCTCTCAGAAACATGGGGGAAATGAGTTTGTACACGTTGAGTGCCTAGGATGGTGCCTGGCCCATGCTAGGTAATGAACTCCTTTGTTTCTTCCCCATCAGTAAAAGGTGGGCTCAGTAGAGAGGAGAGAGTGTGGAATCTTTCCAGATGCTTGCACCTGGCCAGCTCTGAAGATTCAGAGGCCATTGTCTTCTGTCTTTTCTCTCCAACCTGTATGTCCTAGGGGAGAGAAAGCTGGGCAGGGTGCCTTTCCAGATGGGCAGTGGTAAAGACTGTCAGGGCTCACTGGGGGTGCATGCATCAGGGCGTGCCCACGGTGCTCTGCTCTCACCCCTACTTGCTGATGCTGGGGCTCACCACCCTGGCCACAGTGAGGACAACAGGACCATAAGAGTCACCATGGCGTCAGTTTACTGAGCACAACTATGTGTCTGGCACTGTTACATGCATTATTTTGTTTAATCCTGATAGGCAGGTACTGTCATTGACAGACAGGGAAACTGAGGTTGCAAGAGTGTGGATTATCTGCCCAAGATCACACAGCTAATTAGGGTGGAGCCAGCATTTATACAGTCATTTCAAGCCTGCAACCATCCACCTGCTGGGTCCCTGTACTTTCTCTTATCTCAAGTTCTGTGAATGAGCCAGTGCCTGCCCTTGCCCACCTGCCTCCATCATCTGTGCCATGGACCTTTCTGACTGTTCTTCCCTCTATCCTACCTCTGTGCCCACTCCCCTAGATGGTTCCCATTGGTATGGAAATGTGCTATTATACCCTAAAAACCCTCTTTACCCCACAGCCCCCTCCAGCTATTAATTATTTATCTGTTCCTCTTTACAACAAAGCTCCTCAAAACTGTTGTCTGCACTCACTGTCATCATTTCCCTCCATCTGGTCTTGGACCCACTTCAGCCAGGCTTCCTTCTCACAGTGCCCCCAACAACTGGTCTTGTCACAGTCACCAATGACTGCCACTTTGCCAAGTCCTTCTCTTATTTGGCCTAAGATTTGATGATGTTGATTCTTGCTTTCTTCCAAACACTTTCTTCATTAGGCTTTTGGAGCTCTACAACTTTTTGAATTTCCTCCTACTTTCAGGTCCTACCTCATCTCTCTAACCTCTTAATGTTGGAGTGCCACAGGGTCAGTCCTGGGATCATTTTTCTTCTTTGTGCTTAATCCCTTAGCAATGGCAGCGAGTCTTACGACTTGAAATGCATGTATTTCAGATCTTTCGTCTCCTCTCCATTTTCACTGATGCCTCCTTAATTCAGGCGTCATCATCTCCCTTATGCAATCTCCTAAGTAGCTTTTCTGTGACCTATTCCCATCCAATCTGTTGTCCCCACTGTAGCCAGATCTGATGCTGCCACTCCCTAGTGTGAGTCCCTCGGGGCCTTTCTGTGGCCCATGGGATTTATGGGCAAACTCCCCAGCGTGGCACTCAGAGGCCTTGGTGATCTGGCCCTCATCCACCTCTCTAGCCTCATCTCTTACCTTCCTCCCCTTGCCCCATCCTCTAAGGCTCAGCCATGCCCAGCTGCTTATGGGTCCCCTGGTGTCCTCTGCCACATTCCCACTGCTAATAGTTAATTCCTGGCTACCCAGGAGGCAGGTACCTCCCTGTCCTTCAAGGTTTATCTCAAGAGACCTCCTTCATGACTATGACTTTCCCTCCCCATTCCCTCCTCCACCCCATCCTAGGAAGGCTCATTCATTCCATTATGCCCCCATTGTACCCACTGCATACTCAGAAGCCCTTGGAACACTTCATTGCCCTCATTCTTTACATGTTTTTATTTTCCCTTGACTAAACCACAAATGAATTATTCATTGAGCATAAGTACAGTGCCTCATTTGTCTTGGTGCCCTAGGTGCCTAGCTAAGGACCTGGCCTTTACCAGACACCATGAAGATGCCCGAAATTCCAAGGACCAGACATGATGCCTTGCACACAGCATAGGAGTTCAATGGCTGTTTGTTAAAGAATAAATTCTAAATTGTGAACTGTCAGTGCAAAACTGTTCCCTAGGTGCCTTAATTGCTGATGAGCAGGTTCTACAAGTTATTGTACAGAGGAGAAGTACAGAAATAAAGCAACACATGCAGTCACTATGGAAAACAGTATGATAGTTCCTCAACAAATTAAATGTAGAATTACCACATAATCTAGCAATTTCACTTATGAGTATATGTACTCAAAAGAAGTGAAAAAAGCAGCTCTAACAGATATCTGTACATCAGTGTTCATGGCAGCAGCATTCACAATAGCCCAAAGGTAGAAGCAACCCAAGTGGCCACTGACGGAATGAGTGGATAAATTCACTGTGGTCTGTGTATGCAGTCGTGTGTTGTGTAATTATGAGGATGCATTCTGAGAAACGAGATGATCTCGTTGCCGTGCGAACATGGAGTGCACTTACAGAAACCTAGGTGGTACAGCCTGCTGTACACCAAGGCTATATGTTATAGCCTATTGTTCTTATGCTACACTGTCAAGTTCCTATGCTATATACTATATGTCATGTTACTGTACTGAACACTGTAGGCAACTATAACACAATGGTAAGTATTTCTGTATCTCAAGATAGCTAAACAGAGAAGGTACAGGAAAAATACTGTATTCTAGTCTTACAGAATCACCATTGTAAATGCAGTCTGTTATTGACTGAAATGTCATGAATGGCTGTACAGTGGAATATTATTCAGTCTTAAAAAGAAATTCTGACATGTGCTACAACATGGATGAACCTTGAAAACATTATGCTCAGAGAAATAAGCCAGCCACAAATGGATAAATACTGTATATTTCCACTTATATGAAAAACCTAGAACAATCAAATGCATAGAGGCAGAAAGTAAAACAGTCATTGCCAGGAGCTGTGGGGAGTTGGAACCAGAAGTTAGTCATTAACAGGTGTAGAGTTTCAATTTGGGAAGGTGAAAAATTTCTGGAGATGGATGATGGTGATAGTTGCATAATACCGTGAGTGTGTTTAATGCCATTGAACTTGAAAACGGTTAAGTTGGTAAATTTTGTTACATATATTTCACCATAATTAAATTCTTTAAAAGGCAATACACTGTTAATTTGAGATGCTAATGTTGATTTGGTCATTTCCTTGTTTTTGTGTCTTTACAGGTGGCAATTTCACACATATATTTTGCTCTTTCTACATGGTGATCATGTATCTTCATGTCTTTTCATCCTTTTGCTTAGTAGATTATTTGAAGCTTCTCTTAGAATGGTCACTCTTTAGCTATCTGTTTACTTGGGGCATTTTCAGTGTTTTTGGCAATCCTGTTTATGTGTTTGAGAATATTATCTTTTACCTTTTAGCATGAATCTATTACTATCTTATATCAAAAGGTTTGAAATACAATACTGGACTGCCTTGAGCAAGGACCTCACTCCATTACCATTCAAGATTGAGACTTTGGGGTTCTTTGAGTCATGTAGAATTGGTTAAAACTTGTAGATTGTTAATCATTATTTTGATTCACAGACTTCTTGACATTTCTGAAAAATGCAAAAAAAAAATGTTTTTATACTCGTGGAGAAAATGGTATTCATAATGTGCTCTATGAGCTGCAAATTAGTACATACCATGTACTTGGTGTGATGGCTGGTCTTGACCCCACCATTTGAACTAAAAAGTTTGCTATCCAGTTGCTTATAATTTCTTGATATAAACTATATTAAAGAGAAGTTATAAAATAGTCAACATGTAAAAATACTGTATAATAAACTGAAATTTTGTTTCCTAAAAGTAATGAAAGTCAATGTAATCCAGTGACATTTCTGAGTGCCTATTATGTACCAGGAATTCTGTGAGGCCTGGTGAGGTGTGATTCTTGCCACCAGGCAATTTAAAGTGACTTTTGAGAGGACCGTAGCATACATTAAAATGTCTAACCTTTTGCTGCTTTTCAGCGAGTGGGCCACGGTAATGACAACCATGCTGACGCCGACCGCTCTCCAATATTTCTTCAGTTTATTGATTGTGTTTGGCAAATGACAAGACAGGTGAGAGATTTCAAGTGCATTTCTGACCTATGTAGTCTTTGATTTAAATATATCTTTAAGATTAGATAAATTTTCATTGTTGTTTCATTCAAAATAATGCATATGTGTAAAATATGACCCCTTCTGTTATTTAATACAATTTGATTCTGATTCACTTGGAAATATACACAGAAAATCAGAAACTGTCAATTTCACACCAAGTTACTTGTCTCTGCAATGGTTCTTGTCAATCATCTTGTCTACCAGCTTTGCAAACCATGGCCCTCCTCCTCAGCAGATTCTGCTTCTATCGCTCCAGTTTGTCAGGTTAAGGAAATGGTCTCCTGCTGAGCAGTTAAGCTAAGATGTGGCCAGATGTTAGCGAGGATGGGAATGAACTGGTCAGTGGGATTAGACCAGGGATTCCAGGGATCTCTGCACTCTGTCCCAGGCCACAGCCCCTCCCATCCCAAGGGAAATGAGTGTCCAAGAACCAGTGACAGATAAGAAGCTGATAGCATTTCATCGTTAGCCAGTGCTTAGTTCCCAAATCCCAGTGCACAGAGCACCTTAAGCAAGGGAGCCACACAGGGATCCCCTTCCCTGAGCTAGTCAGGCCCGACAGCTTTAGTTCAAAGTAGTCCATGGGGGCCAGGCTGTTTATTCCCTCATCTCTAACATCCAAACCTGAGTTTGGGTTCTTACCCTTGTGATATGAGACACTGCCAGGGAAATGGCCCTGGAACCAGAGGGAGGGGGGAGGCAAAGGAGAAAGTAGTTTCCTGCAGTGTCTCCTGCCCAGCGTGCCTGAGGGGGTTATGGGAAAAAGAGTAAGTTAGGGGGCTGAGAACCAGGGTCTGGGACCTCTCCTTCCTAGTCATTTACCAGGAGCTATAGCTATAGCTGTGGCTGCTTCTGTCATGGGAAAGGGAACAGAAAGCTGCTGGTGATCTGTGGGGATTCTACCAAGAGCCATGATGCTCCTGATTGATCCTCGTGGTAGCCTTATCACAGTCATCATAGGGCCTTTGTAGAGGACATCTGCCTCTTCACTGCAGAAACTCTGAAATAGCAGTCTTGTTTCCCCACTGTGAGCTACTGTTACTGATGGCAGTGTGGGTGGTAGGGCAGAAAGAAGGTTGACAACCACCACACTGTCTGTGCCACCCCCTCTACCTCAGCTGGACCTGTTCCCCAGCAGCTCTGCCCTGAGGAGGACTTGGAGGGCCCAGAGCCATGGCTGTCTACCTTGAGTGCATGCTGTCAGCACCTGGGAACTTTTGGAGAGCCTTCTTCCTGTGGGCCTGGGGAGAGGCTTTAGGTGTGTGTAAAAAGTTCCCCAGGTGATTCAGATGGCAAGTGAATTTGAAGACCAGTGAGCTAGACTGATGCTCCAAGTGTGGTCCTGGGACCAGCAGCCTCAGCACCCCCTGGGAACTTGTTAGATATGGTAATATACAGGCCCCATTACAGACCTGCTGGTGCTCTTAGCGGGGAGGCCCAGCACTCTGGTTTCACAAGCCCTCCAGGGGATTCTAATGTATGCTGAACTTTGAGATTCAACTTTGAGCAACAGTGTTGCTCTAGACCAACACTGTTCAAACATTAATGAGCACATGAATCTGTTCTTGTTGAAATGCAGATTCTGATTAGTGAGTCTGGGGTGAGCTGGAGATGTTGCATTTCTGACAAGCTTTCAGGTGATGCTGCTGGTTCACAGATCACACTTTGAGTGCCAACGGGTCTAGACAGCACAGACTACCTTCAGAAATAAGAATCAAAGGGAGGGGGTTTCTGAGTAGCCAAAGTAGGTTCTGCAGAGTCCTCAGGCCCTCGCTAAGAACTTATACTTACTTTTAGACCCAGCTTCAAAAAACTGATTGTGGTCTCACACAATCTGATTGCCAGGTCACAGCTAATTAAAAGCACCCAGTTAGAGAGCCACCCAGGTCAGAGTGGGTAGTCCTGGAGGTAGGCATGGCAGCAGTTCGAGTGAAAGTTAACAGCAAACATATACTCAAAAGGCATGGAGCCTGGCCAGAAGCCTTACTGTTTTATAGTGCTATGCACTATTGCCATTTGTATTGACGTTATGCCAATAACACATTTTTTTTTCAAGATTCATTGAGTTAATTTATTGGGGAGAATTTTGGGCTTTTGTAATTTTATTTTTTTTTAATTTTAGCGTATTATGGGGGTACAAGTGTTAAGGTTACTTATATTGCCCATGTCCCCCTCTCCCCTTGAGTAAGAGCTTCAAGCATGTCCATCCCCCAAATGTTGCACATCTTACTCGTTGTGGTTGTATATACCCCTCCCCGCCTCCCGCCCTCCTGACACCCGATAAATGTTACTCCTATATGTCCACTTAGGTGTTGATGGGTTAATACCAATTTGCTGGTGAGTACATGTGGTGCTGGTTTTTCCATTCTTGAGATACTTCACTTAGTAGAATGGGTTCCAGCTGTATCCAGGAATATGCAAGAGGTAGTATATCACCATTGTTTCTTAAAGCTGAGTAGTATTCCATGATATACATATACCACATTCTATTAATCCACTCATGAATTGATGGGCACTTGGGTTGTTTCCATAGCTTTGCAAGTGTGAATTGTGCTGCTATAAATATTCGAATGCAGGTGTCTTTTTCATAAAGTGACTTTTGATCTTTTGGGTAGATGCCCAGTAGTGGAATTGCTGGATTAAATGGTAGATCTACTCGTATTGCTTTGAGGTATCTCCATATTGCTTTCCACAGAGGTTGAACTAGTTTGCAGTCCCACCAGCAGTGTAGGAGTGTTCCTCTATCTCTGCATCCACGCCAGCATTTGTTGTTTGGGGACTTTTTGATAAAGGCCATTAACACAATTAAATGATTGATACAGTCAGGTTATTAAGACAAGAAAGTATGGGATACATGTTAGAAAAATTGCATAAAAAGGTTAAACACAAAAAATAATTCCAGTGCTTCTAAAGGGATAAGCATCATTTTTGAAGATGCAAAACAGTTTCATCTCTCCAAAATGCCTAGATTAAATGTGTATTTTTCGACATCTTCAAACTGACTTCCATTTTCATTTTGCTTAGTGCCTAGCTATGTCGTTTTGGTACCGTTTATTGCATTTTAAGAAAAGAAATTAAGGAGTTTGAATTAGAACATTTCAGATGTCTCTCACAGCTCTAAGATTCTATCCATGAAATGTGTGTATAATTTCTTTTAAAATAACATTAATGCTTTAGAAGCAGAGACATTAATGGTCAGTCTTTAATTATCAGTTAATAAGTGAATGAAATATGTAGCAGGCTAGTAAAAGATTCATTCATGTAAAAGATTATTTTTAGCTTGCCTACTGCTAAATTGAGTAAGCTAAGTCAGTGTAAAGTTGTCAGAAATATCAGAATAAAATGAACTAGTCAGTATGTGAACAAACTGATAGGAAGGGAAAAAATAAATGAAGGAATATTTAAAGAAGAGTCCCAAAGACATTCTATTGTATCCATAGTTTAATAGAATCTTTACCCTTTGAGATAGGTTTAATAGTCATTGATATTTTTGTTCTGCAAGACTTGTAGAATTTTATTATAGATTACTGTAGATTTTGGGGGACTGTACTTTTTAGGCAAATGGTACAGTTTCCAGAAGAGACCAAAACAAACTATGTACTGCAGAGACTTAGTCTTTTATTTTTCTTACTCAAGCTGCTACTGTTTTCCCCCTGAGCTGTTTTCTGAATTGAGTTTAATGCCATGATGCCCTTTGAAAGTGTGAATGGTAGTCTTGACCCACCATCAGTAGGTAGAGTCTTTGTTTTCTAGTGCTGATGGGCTTGGACTGAGCCCTGCCCACTTTGACCCTCCCATATCAGGTACCCAGTTGGCCAGAATAAGGCTTGTAGTCAGTGGCACTAGAACACACCCACACAAGCACCCAGATCTAGAATACAGGTTTAGGGGCTAGGAATAGAGACTGATTATCTTAGTCTGTTTGGGCTGCTAGAGCAAAATACCATAAACTGGGTGGTTCATAAACAACAGAAATTTATTTCTCATAGTTCTAGAGGTTGAGAAGTCCAAGGTCAAGGCACCAGCAGATTTGGTGTCTGGTGAAGGCTAACTTCCTGGTTCACAGATGGCTGTCTTGTCACTGTGTCTTCATATGACAGAAGAGACAGGGGAACTCTCTTGGGCCTTTTTGTAAGGCCACTAACCCCATTCATGAGGTCTCTACCCCATGATCTAATTACCTCCCAAAGGCCCCACCTCCTCATACCATCAACTTGGGGGTTAGGATTTTAACATATGAATTTTGGAGGAACACAAATTCATAGCACTCATGACTTATAAAATATGTCAATAAATTGCTATCTTGTTAGTTAATGTTTGTTTTTAAATGTTTGAAAATATAGGATAAAACCCTAAGTCTTCCATTCCTATTCTTGATTTAATAAAGCTTCAGTATACATAAATATTATAAATCTGCTTAAAATTCATAAATTCTGTGTTGCCAATAATTTATGAATAGGGCGTAACTAAGCATAAAATATACTGGCAAAAGTAGACATAGTATGCTTGGCCTTTTAAAAGATAGCCATTTGGAATGTGAGGCCACTGTGGGAGTTGCGAGGGGCAATCTTAAAGGCTCCAGGAGAGGATTAACCAGTACCTATCATTAGCATTTCAGCCAGAGATGTTATACCATTGACTTAGTTCATCTAAGAACAAGAATGCTAGTAAGAACCAGCACCAGAGCTAGTTTCCAGGGCTTTCTGAAAGTGATGTTCTGATGGGGCTCTTTAGAACAGAGTTGAGTGTCTCTGTGACAGTAATCCTTAAGATTGGGAGGGAGGCAAATCTTAATCCAATGTATCTGAGCAGAATTTCTTAAGTTAGACTGGTGAGGAAAAAAACAATTTCAAGTAGAGTTTGGACAATCCTGGGTTGACCATTGCTTCTCATTGAAAAGTTTGTCGCTAGTCTTTAAAGTAGTAAAGCTAAGTTAAAAAATAAACTTGTCTGTCAGT